AAATAATAATAACAACAATAATAACAACAACAATAATAATAAACCAATAAAAAACAACAACAACAACAACAAACCAACTTCAACAAAAAAACAACAACAAAGGAATGTGAGATATTGGTGACAAAGGCCAATCTTCAAAGGTACACGTCATATTTTGTGGACCAACTGCTGAATGGAGAGGTCAGAGTTCATCCTTCATTCTGTCTTACAAAAGCCAGACAATAATAGTATTATGGCTGTTCAGATTTGTCCACCCACATATAGTTAAATGGTGTTTGCTCTATTGATGAAACGGAAGTAGGCCTACGTCAAAATACCCATTCTAGGATATTCTGACACACCGCTACATGGTCATTGAGTGTAACCAAAGATCGTGCATTACTAGATAGTTCACTCCTCCCTTTGAGCCAGCTAAAAAAGTGGCCTCAGAATCCGGTGGCGCCCTCTTCGAAAACCCTACTTGTGTGAAAAACAATAAAAGCGAAACTAACAAACTGTGTTATTCCTATTCTTCTTCTGGGCGAACGAACTTCAAAACAAAGACTGCAGCGTCATCTGAATCAACGCGCGGACTTCCGCGGACACTTTTTTGGCTGAGTGAACAATCTTGTTATGTACGATCTTTGGTGTAAAGTGTTCATGGGTATGACATGGTGGAATTAAATTTCTGGGAATGTGTTGTATTTTGGAGGGAAATTCTACTTCAATTTCATTATTCATTATTCATAAACTGTCCCACCAAGTTGTTTACAATCATCAACCCAATCTATCACTGCGGGTGGTTGGAGGGCGCCACTGGTACGTCCTAAGTCTTCACTTTCTCTCTGTTGTTTCTGTCTGTGTTTGTGATTTGAGAGCGCCACTGGTAGGTCCTACTTTTGTACTTTCTCTCTGTTGTTTCTGTCTGTGTGGGTGGTTGGAGGGCGCCACTGGTAGGTCCTACTTCTTTACATTCCCTCTGTGGTTTCTGATTGTGTTTCCTAATTTTTTCCTGCACTAAATGACCATTATTGTGTCGATGAGTTTCTCTTTTCTCAAACAAACCAACAAGGAAACAAACAAACTCTATCACTGCATTCATTCAACCTCTTATCAAATCGTTCTCAAATTAGATAATTGAAAAATTAATCCGTCATGTACTACATTTTGAAATTCTCTTTAGAAAATAAACCTGTCTGGGCGCAAATGCCACCAACTTTTTGTCCACGTAGCTTACATTGATCAACCCAGTATTTCACAGCATTTAATCTCACATCAAAAGACTCCTGAAGTAATCTATACATTGTATAAATGTTACTTCTCTTTACTTTTCCGATCCAGCGGCCATTTGTGTTCTAGCCCTTCGGCCTGGTAAAACTTCTCGGAGTTCAACTTAGAGAAAGATCAAATCTCGACGCGAGAGCCTCCAACTTATTCGCCACGTCTCTTACATTGATCAACTCAGTTTATCATCGCATTCAACCTCTCATCAAAATGACCCTAAAAAAACAACAACAGCAATTATCCATTGTATAAAGATTACTTCTCGGAATTTGATGCAGAACAGAATCAAATCTCACCCAATCAATCACGGCAATAACCTTTCATGAAAATGATCTTCAAATAAACTATACATTGTATAAATATTACTTCTCGGAATTCTTTGCAGAAACGGATCAAATTTCGAGGTGAATGCCTCCAACCGTTTCGCCACCTCTCTTACATGGATCAACCCATTCAATCACCGCACTCAACCTCTCATCAAAATGATCCTTTAAAAATTAAACAATTATACATTGTATAAATATTACTTCCCCGAATCTTTTCAAGAAAAGGATCAAATCTCCACATGAACACCTCCATCTTTTCCCCCACGTCTCTCACATTGATCAACCCAATCAATCACCGCATTCAACCTCTCATCAAAATGCTCCTCAAATGTCCTATACACACTACTTTTCGGAATTCTTCGCAGAAAAGGATCGGACTTGGTCGCAAACTCCTCCAACTTTTTCCTCGGCGATTCCGCGGCGTGTAAATCCCTGAGAGCGTCGACCAAGCTCCTCTGGAAGACGCAGACGGTTTTCAACATCTGGTCGTGGAAGCGGAAAAACCTGTGACCGTTGTGCGGGCTGGTGTACATCAGGTCGTAGGCGTCCAGGAAGCCGCTCTCGTTGTCGATGAGCCACAGCTTCGCGGAGTCGCGTGACCGCCGCAAGTTTCGGATAGATTCCTCGATCACTTCCGGTTTCCTTTGTTCCTCGGCGCCATCTTGCATGCTGGCAACTCTGGGAAGACAAATCGGGAATATAGGTTTTAACAAGTTGTTACTGCTATCTTGTACGTTAAAGACATCGAATGAGGTAGTAATTTAAGAAGCCCACGTAGGCCGCTCGTTGATTAAAAACAAACACCACAATCCGACCCACCCCCCCCCCCAAAAAGAAAAGAAAAAAAAACCCAACAAAAAACCAACAAACAACAACAACAACAACAACAACAGCAAACAAAACAAAACTCAACAAACAAAGCAAAAAAAGCAAAACAACGGCAACAACAATCAGGAAAAGAGAAATGCATTTCTAGGTACAGTTAATAATCTCTAACTGAATATTGACGTCATCTATTGTCTGTTTGTGGTGGCCGAATTTTGCTATTCAAAAGGCTTTTTAATGGCTGTATCGATCGACGTGCGGTTTTCGCCAAAACATTCTTTAAAATATTCCCCAGAGCATGGCGCCCTTGGTTGTTTCAGTTTTGAGACAGTTTTGCTGCAAAAAGCTAAATTTCTTTATTTTGCCGATCACTTTTGTAGGCCGACGCTTCTGTCTCTGTAATTTTAGAAAATCCGGAAGTGATATTTCGCGAGGCGCGTTTTGTTTTGAGAGTATAGATCTAGACCTTATAATTTGTTGCATATCTCAAGATTTATTTCCCCATTCCAGTAGAGTGTAAATATAGTAGGCCAATGACTTTTAGTTGATATTAAAGCACCGGCCTAGACGGTCAGAGAACGGTTAGTATAAGAACGTATAGGCACCACCGATCATTCCTTTCATTGAAAAGGGGGCCCCGCTAGTGGTCACTATTTTTTAGTACCCAGGATTCATTTTGTCCAAGACAAGCGCAGATTTACAAAATGGGGCGTCATGTGTCCTGCATCATAACAAAACTGTCAGAAACACAACATTCTAAGAGATTATTTTACGGTTTGGAAGAGGAGAAGCTTGCAGTTACAACAATACTAAGCATGTTAGGGTCACGCGGAGACACGCTGTTGTCGTCACCCTCTAATTATGGGCTCATTTTGGACTCATTTGAGGAAAACAATGGGCCCTACTTTGAGGAAGGTACTCTAAAAGAAATGACCCTAAAATCGATTTTTTAAAATATGTTCAAATGGAGGTAAAGGGTTACCGGTTCCTAAGATATCCAGGTACACGAAAATGTAAAACGTTGAAAATCGATATTTTGACCCTAACATAGTATTTTGAAGACCCGTGCCTTCCCTTAAATATGGGCTACAAATGAACGGAGAGATATGATATGAGGTATTGTTTGTTTTTACCGGGCGGGGAGGGGGAGGGGCGGAGGGAGAGAAAGTGAGTAATTGAGTTTGTTCAGAAAAAGGACAATTCCATACTTACAAAATGGACTGCTTTTATGTCATGTTGTCTACACTCTCCTTCTACTTATGCAAAGCCTAGGTCTTCATAGAGTATGAAGAGAGTAGGACTGAGTTAATTATTTAATATAATACTAGTTCGTTAGTGTTTCAAAATGAGCAATTAATTTGTAGGCTGGGACACTGTAAATCACTCATTGTATGGATCAATCGTGTGGCGTCGGTGGCCTAGTGGTTAGGCTCTCGGATTCGCAACCGTAAGGTCGTGGGTTCGAATCCCGTCAAGGGCCCGACGTTGTGTCCTTGGGAAAGGCACTTTACACACATTTTCTTCACTTCACCCAGGTGGGAATGGGTACCCAGCTATAGACAGCGAAAGATCTTGTCAGTATGTTAGTGTTTGAGCGCTTTATCGGCTGCTCGCACTGTATGCTTCCCGGGAAGCTGAGAATGTTTCGGAGTGTTCTATGGTCTGCTGGGGTAATAATATAGTGTAAAGCGCATAGAGCCTGCTGTTGAGCGGGGATATGCGCTATACAAATGCTATCTATTGTTATTATTATTCTGTGCGCACACCCAAAGAGCGTTGTTTAATATCGGGCAGAAATAATGATATACTAACAACATTTTAAAATGAAACACTAGCCTGTTTATCTTAAACGTTCAGAATATTTTGTAAAGTTGGCGGTGATTGGCAATGGTGTTTGGCTACACAACACTCTATCTTCCATGAACCCTGCTGCTGCTGTTGCACGTTATGCTGTTTGGCATCGGTTCCGCAAATGAGACAGAATACTACGCCGGTCTTATTAGAGGGTAGTTACGCCTGGTTAGCTGCTTTATATGTGAGGCAGCGTAGTGAAATCAGGCTCTCGTCAAAATAATCAAAGTGAAGAAACTTGCATTTTTTCACAGGTTTGTGAACTTTCATAAAATATTTGTTTTTTGGCTCGACACCTTTCATGCCCATTAAAGAACTAATTTCTGAGTGGATTTTTCTGAAAACCGTTGATTAAAGGTACAAAAAAGGTACATTTTCAGTTACCACGGACTATTAAGATAAAGAAATAACTAATCTTTGGCGGCCATTTTCTCACTAAGTTTACCTCCAAAAACAGGTGACCCCACCTCCTTCGATCGCAAATATCTCGACTTGCATTCAAGATAAATGGATATTTTTTCATCCATATAAAGACAAGTGAACAAGCTTTAAGATGGTACCAATAACTCTACATGCCCAAAAATTGACGAGAGCCTGATTCCACCACGCTGCAACACATATTCTCTCATCTCAACAACATTGACCGTGGTTCTTATCCGTTCAGCCAGCCTTGAAGGTGTGCTACAATTGCAGCTGAAGCTTCTAGCAGCTTCTCAGTCACATTCCTGATCCTAGAGGGCCGACACGAGAGCTTTGTTGTGGTCAGCGGTGCTAAATCTAGACATACTATTTGAGCGACACACAGCACAAGACTTCAATAAAATTATGTTTTTTAAATTATTTTTTACAAGTGATCATCAAGTCCATCTCATTCATTTTTCCCCAGAATTTGACTCATCCGTGTGGTCACACTGTGTAAAAGGCCCTATTTGCATTATTTGGAGATTACTTTACTTTTACTTTACTTTTTCATCCTCTGTTGTCGTTAAGAGTCAAGGGGAGATGCAGTTTTCTATAGTAGGCCAGCTACGCAGCTCCTCTTTCAGTTGTGATGTTATGTTTTCTTACGGTTCCTTGACACCCTCGATCCACCTTTTGCGTGGCCTTCCTCTTCCTTTATAGCCTGAGTGCTTGGTGTTGTAGGCTCTCGAGGCTGGCTGGTTAGGTGACATGCGTAACAGGTGGCCAAACCTCTCTGTCTTTCAGTGTAACGCAGGCAGGACTCAGTGTCGAAAGCTGCTCTTATTTCTTCATTTCTCTGCCTGTCTCGTCTTGTGATATTAAGGGTTTTGGGGAGACATTTCATTTTGCATGCGGTGATTTTGCTTTCATGGAGATTATTTTTTATTCGGAGATTATCTGTCTCATTTAAGGATAAACAATCACAAAAATCCCTACGAGTATATTTTAGTTAGTTTTAGTAAAAGTTTTACGCACTTGCAACACAATAAGGTTATATAAGTGCCGAAGAATAGATGTGTTAGAAGAGAGTAACATGCACAAAAAAGAAGGAGGAGAGGTACATTTTAGCTATAGGCAAATGACATGAGAAAGAAATCAACTTCAAAAGACTTCGCAGACTATGATTAATCCGCGATTGAAAAGTGATGCGCGCACCGACTGGCCTTTTATTCCTCTCTGGAATGGCGACACGCAACTCAAGTTTGACACTCGTGACGTCACAGCTAAGACCTCTATTTCTATTTTTAACCTCTTTGGGTTTCGATAGATCTAAAAGCATCCGGGGCGTCGGCATGTAAAACATGGATTTCATAGAGACTCAAATGTGGGTCAATCAAAAACACGTCTTCCGGTTCCCTGATGGCCGAAATGCAGGTTTCGGCGGCAATGTGATAATTATTTCAGAAACTGATTTAATTACACAGCGCTTATAAAGCTCCTAAAATAGCCCTACGCGGGACAATTGGCTAACGTTTGTGTAATGTGTATTTTTCCAAAACGATTGGTATTGTCACCCAAAAGCATTTGAGGGCAAAACTTTGGCCCCACCTTTTATTATTATAATAA